GCATGGCAACGGCACGGCCTGGGCATGGCGACGGCACGGCCTGGGCATGGCAACGGCACGGCCAGAGCATGGCAACGGCACGGCCTGGGTATGGCAACGGCACGGCCTGGGCATGGCAACGTCACGGCCTGGGCATGGCAACGGCACGGCGTGGGCACTGCAACGGCGCGGCCTGGGCATGGCAACGGCACGGCCTGGGCATGGCAACGGCGCGGCCCGGGCATGGCAACGGCGCGGCCTGGGCATGGCAACGGCTCGGCCTGGGCATGGCGACGGCGCGGCCTGGGCATGGCAACGGCACGGCCTGGGCATGGCAACGGCACGGCCTGGGCATGGCAACGGCGCGGCCTCGGCATGGCAACGGCACGGCCTGAGCATGGCAACGGCACGGCCTGAGCATGATGGCAACGGAGCGGCCTGGGCAGGGCAACGGCACGGCCTGGGCAAGGCAACGGCGCGGCCTGGGCCCGGCAACGGCGCGGCCTGGGCATGGCAACGTCACGGCCTGAGCATGGCAACGGCACGGCCTGGGAGAGGCCACGGCGCGGCCTGGGCAAAACAACGGCGCGGCCTCAGCGCGGCAACGGCACGGCATGGGCATGGCAAACGGCACGGCCTGGGCATGGCAACGGCACGGCCTGGGCATGGCGACGGCACGGCCTGGGCATGGCAACAGCACGGCCTGATCGTGGCAACGGCACGGCCTGGGCATGGCAACGGCACGGCCTGGGCATGGCAACGGCGCGGCCTGGGCATGACAATGGCACGGCCTGGGCATGGCAACGGCACGGCCTGGGCATGGCAACGGCGCGGCCTGAGCATGGCAACGTCGCGGCCTTGGCATGGCAACGGCGCGGCCTGGGCATGGCAACGGCACGGCCAGGGCATGGCAACGGCGCGGCCAGGGCATGGCAACGGCTCGGCCTGAGCGTGGCAACATCGCAGCCTGGGCATGGCAACGGCACGGCCTGGGCATGGCAACGGCGCGGCCTGGGCATGGCAACGGCGCGGCCTGGGCATGGCAACGGCATGGCCTGGGCATGGCAACGGCACGGCCTGGGCATGGCAACGGCACGGCCTGGGCATGGCAACGGCACGGCCTGGGCATGGCAACGGCACGGCCTGGCATGGCCAGCGGCACACGGCAGCTGGGCTAGGGCAACGGCCCGGCCTGGGCATGGCAACGCACGGCCTGGGCATGGAAGCCGCGGCACGGGCCTGGTGCATAGCACATTGGCAACGGCTCGGCTCTGGGACATGGCAACGGCGCGGCCTGGGAATGGCAACGGCCGGCCCTGGGCATTGGGCAAACGGCACGGCCTGGGCATGGCCACACGGCACGGCACTGAGCATGGTGCAACACGGCGCGGTTGGGGCATGGCAACGGCACGGCGATGGGCATGGCAACGCTGAAGAGCCTGGGAATGGCAACGGCACGGCCTGCGGCATTGGCAACGGCCTTCCGATCTGGGCATGGCAACGGCACGGCCTGGGCATGGCAACGGCGCGGCGTGGGCATGGCAGCGGCGCGGCCTGGGCATGGCAACGGCGCGGCCTGGGCACGGCAACGGCGCGGCCTGGGCATGGTAACGGCACGGCCTGGGCATGGCAACGGCTCGGCCTGGGCATGGCAACGGCGCGGCCTGGGCATGGCAACTGCACGGCCTTAGCATGGCAACGGCACGGCCTGGGCATAGTAACGGCACGGCCTGGGCATGGCAACGGCGCTGCCTGGGCATGGCCACGGCACGGCCTGGGCGAGGCAACGGCACGGCCAGAGCGGGAGGGAGAAAGGAGGGGAGAAGGAGGAGGAGCAAGAGGAGGAGCGAGAAGGTTTTTTTTACCTCGTGACGGCTGGCGAATCGACCCCTGTCCGCGGACCCCGCTCCGCGGCGCATATCAGAATCGCCGTAGCACGGGCCACCCGGGCGCTCTAAGCCTTCAACTTTTTCCGCGGCATCGAGGCACGCGGTGACTCCAGGGCGAGTTCGCAGGCGAGGGCGAGCTTCTCGGACTGCTTCTGCGCGAGCTCGTAAGCGACCATAGGATGGGGAGCGATGCCCTCGGTCTCCCGAAAGGTCCGCACGACCTGCAGGAACGTGTCAGACTTGATGAGCTGGATCGCTTGGGCGCGGTCGTAATCGCTGGCCCCGTTCTTGATCAGCTCATCCGCGACCTCCCCCCAGAGGCAAGGAAACGCGCTGGCGAACAGACCCCAGTCTGCGCGACCAGAGAAGAAAGACGATATCTCGGAGGCCGTCCACGCGTCGGGGACACTCTCGAGGTTCTCCTTCGAGTCCGCGCTCATGCTCTGCAGCGAGGCCTTGTCCACGCGGCTCCAGTCGTCGCTCTGGTGCAGGTTCTGCCGGATGAGGCGGGCGGCCACCATCTTCCTCGTGAGCCAGTCGATGCAGTACCCGCTGGCGTCCTCAGCGTGGAAGGGCAAGGCTCCGCTCTTGGTGCCGATCCGCCGCAACGCCGCCTTCGCCCGCCGAGATCCGTAGTCGACTAGGTCGTCGAGGACGCAGGGCGTCGAGGCACCTGCGTCGAGGGCGCTGGGCTTCGAGGCGCCTGCGGCCGGGGGCGCTGCCAAGGAGCGCTCCTCCTCGCGAGTGGCCTCCAGGAGCTTGTCGCACAAGCTCTCCGACGGGGCGCGCACGACGTACAAGGTCTTCATCGAGCCGAGGCGGTACGCCTGCTGCTCGGGGCGGACGTCGTCCGTCTTCTTCGCCCTCTGGATGACCCCTAAGTTCGAGGCAGTCGTGATGAGGCCGAAGAACCGCTGCACTCCTTGGCGATGCAGCTGGGTCAGCTGCGCAGCATGGGGGGCTCCGTCCGCCACCGCGAGTGCGCGCAAGATTGCCGATCGCAAGTCTGGGCCCGAGTATTGCGCGGGCAGCTGCTCCCAAGCCTCCACCTGATGGGCCCATTTTCCACTACCACGACAATCAGTCGGAGGGGGAAGGGGGAGGGGGGAGGAGGGGGGTCCTCCACCTCCTCCTCCCCCTCTCCCCCTCCAACTTATGGTACGGTGGAGGCATTGGATAAGGAAACCTTAGATAAGGAATCCAGGGTCTGGAACCCAGTGGAACTCCAATTGTGGATCGACCATGGGTACCGCCACCGCCCTCATCAGATAAGGAATCCTCTAGGGTCTGGCCCCTCGGGAGGGCATTCCTTATCCAATGCCCCCACCGTAATTGTAATGGAAAATGATGCGAAAATGGGCCCATCGCCACCAGCGCTCCCACTGCCAAGGGCTCCTTGATAGCAGCCACCAAGATGAGCATAGCGACGTCGTCTTGGAGGATGACGCTGGTGGCGACGAAATCCTCGACGTCGCACGGCATCATCAGGGGCGTGACTGGAACTGCAGCCACGGCCAGCTGCACGCGGAGAGGAGCCGCGTCCAACACTCTCTTATGATGGCTGCAGTAGTCGGACTTGAGCCTGGGGCGACCGCACCCCGCGACGACGCATACGCACGTGGCGCAGTAGCCAGTGCCGACGACAAGCTCGGTGCAGTTGCACTCGCCACTCTTGCGATGGCTGTGCACGCGGCAATGCCCCTTGCAACGGCACTTGACCTCCGAAGCGAACTTCTTAGGAGGCGAGAGGTCAGGCTCGAACCACGCGCGCGCGATCTCCGTGGGTGTCTGCGCCGTCGGCGTCGAGCTGAGCGTCGAGGCATCAGCGCGCGGTTCTGGCTCGGACGTCGGCGCCGCCTCTGGAGTAGCGACTCGCCCTCCGAACCACGCGCACAGCATCCCGGACGACATCGTCACGCGAGCAGCAGGGTCCCACTGGAGGCACGTCCGCACCAAATCCCACTCAGCACCTGACTCGGGCAGCGGCCTGCTCGGGACAGCTGACATCGCTGCAGGCGCCCAGCTCTGCCACCGCGGGTTCCGAGTGTACGTCAAGGCAGAAGGGCCCTTCGCCGGGGCCGCGCCGATGACGTCCGCCACTGCCCGCGCCATCTCTGCGCCGTTCCCCGCTCGACGAACGAGGGTCACCCCTGACAGCACCTGGTAGACGACGGCCCCGAACGACCAGACGTCCAGGCTGGGGCCGTAGGGCGTCGTCTCCTCGTACTCCTGGTCCATCTCGAGTTCGCCCATGGTTGCCGCCCAGAGCTCTGGAGGCCTGTACCAGCAGGTGCACACCAAAGCCGTCATGGGCTCCTCCCTCTTCGGGGCGCGGGTTTTGTTGCGGAGGCGCAGGCGCGGGTCCCCAGACCAACGCCGAGCCGTGCCAAAATCCGCCAACGCCAGCGAAGGCCCCAAGAACTCCCCGTGGACCTCGCTGGCCAAGAAGATCAAGCAGTTCTCTGGCTTCACGTCTCGGTGGATGATGTTGTGAGCATGGACGTGAGCCAGGGCAGCTGCGAGCTGCCGCATCATCCTGCGAGCCAGCTCGGGCGGCAGGACGCCGCCAGGCCTCCTGCCGAGGAAGGTCTGGAGGTCCAAGTCCGCTGGCGGGAACACGAGGATAGGCAGGTCGTCGGGGTCGCGCTCCCCGCCCGGCGTCGAGGCACGGACGTCGATGAGCCTAAGGACGTTGGCGTGCGCCACTGTGCGCAGGCAAGCTGCCTCCCACAGGATGTCCTGCCTCGAAGTCCCGCCCGCCCTGGAAACTTTCAGCGCTACGTCGACGCCGCGACCACACGCGCCGTCACCGGGTTCGCGCGCGAGGACCACGCTGCCGAAGCTTCCAGCGCCGAGCGTGCGCAACCTCCTGGTCTCCACGTAGGGGGACACCGCGGCCATGGTCTCCATGGCCGCGGTGTCCCCCTCGCCCCCTCGATGGATGATCCTGGTACCTCGCCCTGCGGTGCTCGAGCCGAGACGGCCGCCCAGCCCTCGTCCTCCTCCTCGCCGCCGTCGTGGTCGTCGGGGTCGTCGTCGTGTCGACGTCGTCCTGGACGTCGTGGTCGTCGTGGTCGTCGTAGTCGTCGCGGTCGTCGTCATCGTCCTCCTCATCTCCTCCTCCTCTCCTCCTTTTGTGCGCTCCGAGCTGCTAATCCGCACCCAATCAACGACCGAATGCGGGCAAATATGGAAGATAACCGTCGACAAAACAAAGCAACAGGACTCATGGGAGGGATGGGAAACGGAGCCAATCCTCAATACCGTAGTTTCCCTTCTGGTAGCGCCGCATGGCGGCGTGGACAAGCGCAGTGGACCGTGCTAAGATATCGCCCGCCACTTCATCTGAACGCCGGCCGCCTGGAGCATTGAAGCATCGACCGCGCACCGACTCCGTGACATTTGTCACGCTGTCTCATTGCATCACTGTCCACCCCACTGTACCCCCTTGAATTCCCTCCCCCGTGTGTGTGGCGGTACTCACCAATATGCAACAGCAAGGGCAGACGCCCGGCAACTGCATGGCAACAGTACAGCGACGGCACGGCAACGGCGCGGCAACGGCATGGCAACGGCATGGAACCAGCATGGCAACAGCACGCCAACAGCGTATCCGTCGCCCGCCAACTGCATGGCAACAGCATGACAGCAGCATGGCAACGGCATGGCAACAGCGAGGCAACGGCATGGCAATAGCGAGGGGGCTGCGCGGCAGATGCATGGCAACTGCGTGGCAACAGCATGGCAACAGCATGCCAACGGCATGGCAGCTGCATGGCAATCGCATGGCAATCGTATGGCAGCTGCAAGCCAATCGCATGGCAATAACATGGCAGCTGCGTGGCAATAGCATGGCCCGCCCCTCCGCACCCCCTCGACCGCCCCCACCCACCCCCTTCCACCACCCCACCGCCCCCCCCTTTGGAGCCTCCCAAAGGCCCCCAAGGCTCCCAAGAGTGCCCTGGCAGGGCCCCAAAAGGCGCCCAGGAAGCCCCAAGAGCCCCCTCAGAGGCTCCCGAGCGGCCCCCCAGAGGCCCCCCCCAGAGGCTCCCCCGAGGCACCGAAAACGCTCCAAGAGGCCCTAACGACCGCCAAGAGGCCCCCAAGACGATCCAAAAGGCCTCCGAGAAGCACCTGAGAGACATCCCAAGAGACTCCGAGGGGGCATCCAGACGGACTCTTGCCCTTCTGCTCGCCCTCCTCGTCCTTATCCGCCTCTTCTTACCTCTTCTCCGTCCTCCCTCTTCCTCCCGTCTCCTCCCCCCCAGCCTCCTCCCCCTCCTCCTCCTCCGTGCCCTCCACCATCTCCTCCGTTTCATCATCCATCTTCCCCCTTTGGGGGCACGAAGGCTTCCCGAGCCCTTTGTTTTTCTGTATGCCCTCCCCCCACTTCCCTGATCAGGGCAACTCATCTGGGCGTCGTTGCTGGACGGGCTGGAGGGGATACGCAAGCTTCAAAAATATGGCGCAGGCATTGCCATAGTACGGCGCCAGCGTGTCATTTTTTATCCAGCGCATCTTACGGGAGAAGAAGGAGGAGAGCAGAGGAGACGAATCGGACATGGGGGCCACAACATCACTCGAGTAATACGTGCAATCCGTGGCGATGCTCGGCAGAGACTGATCAGTGGCTGAAAGTACAGCAACATCCCAGAAGTAAAAAAGCACTGGCGAGAAGAGGAGAAGGGAGGAGGACGAATATAGCAGGGCCGCAGAAAAAAAGGCAAAACCGGAAAACCACGCCAGAAGCCAGCCTAGGAAGTGCCCGCGCGCCAGCGCGGTTTGAGAGACGCGCTGGGAAGTCCCCAGCGGCCAGCGCCGACGCGGCCACGTCGGTCGCCTCAAACTAGCCGGCCGCTTTGCGCGCGAGCCCGCGCGCTAGCGCGGCCGCGGCGACGCGCCAGCCAGCGCCGAGAAGTCATCGCAATCGCAGCCGCATGGTCTCGGCAAAACAAATCGCGGGCGGAAGGGCCAAGCGATTGCGCGAGCAGCGGAGTTGACATCATCATGTTCGGCGCGCCGAATTGCGCCACTTTGGTGGCGCCACATTGATGGCACCGCCTATATTGCGCCGCGCAATCTGCAGGGAATCACTCAGCGGGGCTCGCGCTGGCAGGCGTACTTACGCACTGTACTTCGAGTAGTCGAAGATTTGCCAGATTTTCGCACCCCCGTCCGCTCTCGCTTTCGACGCCCCAAGACGGCCCATAAGGCCCCCAATATCGCCCCGAGACGGCCCCAGTGGGCCCCCAGCGCCCCCCTAAGGCGCCCCCGAGCGGCACGAGATGGCCCCAAGGCGGCACAGGAGGCCTCCAAGACGGCCCAATGGGGCCCGAACGGGGGGCCCCCGAGGGGGAACGCGAACCGACAGTTCGAGCCCGTCGCCCCACGCCGGGCCGCGAGGCCGCCAGCAAGCCCCCAGCGGCCCCCCGCAATCTCCAGGAGGAACTCAGAGGCCGCAAAAGAGCCCCAAGAAGCCACCAAGGCACCCCCGAGACCAAGTGCGCTCCAAGAGCGGGGGGCCCGAGAGGCGATTTTCGGTGCCCCCAGAGGAGGTCGCAATTGAAGCTCCCATTTTTTATCGACCCCCTCCCAGATGGCACAAAGAGCGCCCCCGACGCTCCCCAGAGCGCCTCAAGAGGGCCCCAAAAGGCGCCCGCGACGCCTCCAAGGCCCCCACGACCCCCCAGAGGCCCCGAGAGGCTCCCCGAGGCACCCAAGAGGGCTCCAAGAGAGGCCCCTCCTCTGCGCGCTGCCCACTTCCCTGACCACGGCAAGTCCACCGGGCACCGCATCTGGATGGGCCCGCGGGCTTGCGCGAAGCGCCGGGAACAACTCCGCTGCCGCAGGCGACGCAGAGCAGAACTGTTCCCGTGGATCTCGCGCAGGTGGCCTCGCTTCAGCGGTTTTAGAGCGCCCTGCGGGTCCGCGTAAGTTACGCTGAAGTCAATGGAGCTCAATCGCAGCATCGACTCGCTGCTGATGACTGCTGACCCGAAGGCCCACGGCGCCCTGGAACGCGCTTCGGCACCCTGTCGCAAAGAACAAGATCGCCACGCACGCGCGGGCGGCAGCATATTTGAACGCGAAATAAACACTCCAGCATGGCAGGAGAAGGCGGGAGGCGGCGTTTCGCAGAGCCCCAGGAGCAAGTTGCCTCAATCGGACACGAACTGCTCGAGGTCAGCATCACGCACGCGAAGCGAGCTGCTGCGTTCAGAATCGCAGGTGGGAAGCGTCGTCGGAATCTCCCACGCCGCAAGATCGCAGGGCATGCCGGCACCCGCCGTCGGAATGAGCGACTAGCAACATCAAGCAAGAAGGCGCCAGGCGCAGATTCGGCCCCCGCCCGCCCCCCCGAAGACGGGAGACGGGGAAACGCTCAACCCTTGAAGTTGACAGGCGCCCAACGCAGATGGGGGCCTGGGAATCCAAAAATACCTACATCCAACGACCGGCGCGTTGAATTGGCGCCCACTGAGACGGGGCCCCCCGCGCTGGCGCGACTCGGCAGAGAGCGCCCCTACGAGCGGAGCGGTAAGATCGCAGTCCAGACTCTCGAAATACTCACTGTCGCGTAGGCCCCCCAATTTCATGACAGGTCGTCGGCTGCGCACATGAAAACGCAGGCATCGGCGGGCCTGCCGGAGGCCCCGCAGAAGGCATCGCGCAGTTTTTGTTGCCATTCAAATACCTGGGTGGCCCACGGGAAATAAGGCGCGCACGTGGTCTCGGATTCCTCGATCTCGGCCGGGGCCGCGCCGGGAGATCCTCCGAAGGAACGCCATGACATCTCGCCAATGGAACCAAGACCAACAGGCGAGCAGCACGGTGGCTCGCAGCCTCGCGCGCACCACCAGGCCGCGCCCCGCCCGCAATGGCAGTCGGGGCCGCAGATCGGGCAGCGCGGGCAGCGGGGGTCAGAAATGGACTCCGTTCTGCCCGCGCGCTCTGGTTCTTTCGCGGCCAATGCGCGCGGTGCTGCGCGGCATCGCGCGGTCGGAAAGCTCGTCGTCGACGTCGGCGCGACCTCGCTGCAGCTGATGCAAGACGTCGGAAATGGCAGGATGCAAGTCGCGAGATTCCTGCGATTGCATCGCCAGGCGGGCCCGAACCTCAGCCACCCGCGCCGCCGCGGCATCTCTCTCGGAAAAGACCTCGCGAACCTACCTTTGCACGCGGCCCACCGTCGCCCGCCGCCGCCCGCAATGTCTGAACCTCAGGTACCAAGGGGGCGGGGTCGCCCACCGAAGCGGCGCCCAGCTGGCCAGCCTGGGCCCGCGCGACGCGCCGCTCAGTCACGGCCTGTTCGAGCGCGAAGACTCTGGCGGAAGAGCGCGGGAATGGCCAGAACGCGGGAATCATTGAAACGCCGATTGACAACATAGAAATCTTGCCGCAAAGGCCCTGCTGGACACCACGGGACTCGAACCATGTCTCGCAGCTCCTGCCTGCGACAGCACGACCGCGGGCGGCAGCGGGCGCTGCTCCTGGAGCGGCGAGCGCATGCGCCTGCATCTTCCATAGAGAAGTCTCGCTCGGGAGTATGTGATCTCGAACGGAGAGGACGCTGGCCTCGCGGCGGCTGTAGGGCATGACAGAGGTGAGTTCGACGCGGCCATGTCCGTGCAGAAGTAAGACTTTTCGACGCGGGTGATCACCTGAGCAACGACCTTGCGGTCGAGTTGGACGGCCTCATCGATGCCCTGAAATGCAACATTAGATCCGGTCGCAAAACGGCCGCCTCGGAAGCGGCGGCGGCGATCGATCTCTGTGCACGGCTGAGGACTGTTGGGCGACAAATGGTTCAACCTGGTCTTTCAGCTCAGCCATGCGTTATGTGGCATAAGTGACAGGGATGCGAGGTCGCCGTGAGCGCAGCCCTTATTAGAGGGCCTGCGGTTGTAAGCGTCCTGAACGGCCATACTGCGTCGATCCATATGACGAAATCAACGATGATGGAACCCGGGGCTGGCGGCACGGAGCCGAGAGATGGAGGTAGCACGAATGTGGCCGAAACCATGCCGCGAGCCATGCGACGGGAGTCAATAGTTCGTCCCTGGTCAACCACGCGAGGTGGGCGACCTGCACGCACTGGATCGGGGACTTGCTGTGTCGATTCGATGGATCAATGAGGACCCAACGTGGCCAGAAGACCTCGGGGGCCAGGAGCTCCCCGAGGTGCGCTACCGACCAAAATGTGGCGTTTGCAAAAGCACACACACACACACCACGCCACGCACTGGATCGGGGACTTGCTGTGTCGATTCGGTGGATTTATGAGGACCCAACGTGGCCAGAAGACCTGGGGGGCCAGGAGCTCCCTGATGTGCGCTACCGACCAGAATGTGGCGTTTGCAAACGCACACACGCACACCACGCAAGTTGAGA